ATTGTCGCAAAGGTGGTTATCTCCTTTTTTATGAAGTGGCTTAATAATGGACGTTTTCAGGGCATCTGGGAACTGGCCACATTCAAAGGAAGCATTGATTAAATGAGCAATAGGGTTGGATACGAGGTCTGCAATTTCTCTTAACAGTTTGGAAGACAGTTCGTCTGTTCCTGCCGACCGTTTATTTTTCATCTCTTTTATGATTTGTTCAACTTCGGTCTTATTTGTTGGCTTAAGAAAAAGTGAATCTGGAATATGCTTTATATAATTGGGCTTGCCTTTCCTATCTGATGGATTACTAACAGATGAAAAAAAATTATTAAATACGTTAGCAACTTGTTGTGGGTCTTTGACTATTTCCCCATTTTCATTAAGAATATTGATTTCTTTTGCATTGTTAGTTTTAGTTGGAAGATTTTCTTTAATAGTATCCCAGATGGCTTTATTTCTATTGTCAGATTGGTTTATTCTCTCACGTATCATATCTGATTTTTTTTGCCTGATTATATTTTTGTAAGTGCGTTTGAGCTGCATGTATTTTTGACGTGAGTGGTTATCTGAGTTTAAGTCTTTAGTTTCTATATAAAGATCAAGCATTTGGTTTTTTATATTTATAGTCTTCTTGTCCAGTTTAGCTTTGCCCTTACAGTGCGTTTTATTAATTTTTTGTAATTTGTTTGGGAAAGCAACGTCAAGAAAATGGCAAAGTTGGTCATTAAATATTGTAAATTTGGTGTTAAAGTCCTTGGTATTGTACAGTTGCTCCCAGTCTGCAGAGGCAAGCAAGTGTCTAAATATCTCTCTACTTGATTGATCGAATTTTCTACCAAATTTATATTTAACAGAGGATTTTTGAACCCTGGGGCCATGGATTGACGCAATCTGGGCATGGTGGTCGGAGAGGGCTGACACTACAACCGCGCAATCAATTGATTCGTTAGTAAAATTGGTATAGAGATGATCAATTAGAGTTTTGGAGTTTTTAAATTCACGTGTATATGATTTCACTAAATTGCTTAGACCAAATGAGCTCATTGTAACTTTGAGTTCGTTAGAGGTTGTTGATTCTACTGATAAGTCGACATTAAAATCACCCACTACAATTACTTTATCTTGAGTCTTAAGATGTTTTTCAAGACATCTGGACATGAGGTCAAGGCAGAGGTCATAGCTATTACCAGGGGGTCGATATACAGCTATTAAGAGAATCTTTTCATTATCTGCTGCTACTTTTGCAGCTGTAATCTCACACTTCCCTTCTTCGCAAAATTCCATTGTATCGATGCTTTTTATTTCAATGTCGTCCTTTGCAAATATGCATACACCACCATTATTCATATGTTGGCGGCAAAACGCACTTACATTCATATAACCTTTCAGTTTACAGCTTTCGAACTCATAATCCCTTAGATTATGTTCGGTCACAAATACAATATCAGGACTTTCGTGTGCTAAGAAAATTTCAAATGCCTCGATTTTTGAAGCTAGCCCACGTATGTTTTGGTGTATCAGTTTTAGACGACACGAGAGAGTCCGACCCCGGCAGTCCCCAGAGCCGCCCACGGTATTAGGAGCTGTTCCTGTCCCTTCTCTAAAAAAGATTTGTTGTAAAAGACCTGACTTTTCCTATCCCCTATCTTTTTAAAACTAGAATGAGTTTCTACAGGTAAAGTATTTTTTTTTCAAAAACTTGGAGTTGGAAAATACACGTGACACTGAATGAGGGGGGTTTACAGTTTGATGGTTAGTTTTACGAGTGCCATCGCTATGAATTGATTGACACAACAAGTTGGCAAGACAAAGTTTACCCCTCTCACTCAAGTGCAGCCCGTGCTTAGTGTAGCAAACACGCTCAAAACTTTCAAGAGATACGAATTTGGCATTTTTGAAACCATTGACCAGCTTCTGTATTTGAGTGTTGGTTTCGTCAATTATCGGATTCAGCGTTGGCTGGTCATGACGCTTAGGCAGCCCCACTATAATTACCGAAGTGCGAGACGCCGCTCTCAGTAACTTCTCAAGCTCCTGGACAATGTCACTACAGTACTCGTTTACAATATCGTTAGTACCACCAATTACTATCAAGACATCTTTATCTGACATATTGGATAGTTGTGGTATCACTGAAGAAAGTACTTGACTCAATCTATAGCACCCGGTTTGACACAAGAACGGACCTTAAAATTACTGTTCAAAGCTTTAGTACTTTGCACAAAGTTCCTAAGAAACCTGCCATGACTGTCAGAGAAAATCTCGACTTCCCGTTCACTCAGATTTACAGGTAACACAGGAGGATTACCAGATTTGTTGACACATGTTGATGGTATACGGGATATTGACTTATTGTTAGCTGCCTTGCGTTTAGGAGTAACTGAAACGTTGTTGACAACCTTTGGGCAAAGGGCATCATTGTTACTCTGAGCAACCTTTCCAGGTGATAGATGTTTTAAATTATCATTCGGAGGTGTAGGATCATGTACCTTAACAGGTGACAATATCGCAAACCTATTGGTATTAACAATAGAGTGAGATTGATTTGTTACACTATTTTGAAAACAAGAACCTTTTGCTTTAGTCTTACTCTTTTGCTTAACAAGCTTCCATGCACCTTGTTTGCCTCTTTTTAGATTTAGAGGAGAACACTTAACAGGTATGTTGTCGCTGATGGGATTACTAGAATTAACATGACAGGCAGATATGAGTGGTTCAATTGTTGTTGGTACAGCAAAAGGAGACCCCTCCATCAACGAGGTGTACCATTGTCCAAGCGAGAAGTGAACCCTTGACTCGCTTAGGCAGTAACCATTGTACACAATCTTTGCGTTTGTTAAAACATTTAACCCACACTCGAATGTGTTGCGCTGTTGTGGACAAGGTACCTCTACAAAAGAATTGTTATGAACATGAAAAGTGTTGGCTACTTTCATTGCTGCCTCCCCATTAGTTTTACTTAGAGAATCAAAGTGATAAGATTGTTTTATTTTACTATCAAAAACCAAGAGCCTCCAGTGAGAAGCACTGTCGTCCTTTCCAGGACTAACACAGTTACTAATACAACAGAAAATATAATCATATTTGTTAAAAGATAGGTCAAGTTGTATTTGTTCAATGTCTACAAGGCTACCATGGCGTAAGATTTGGATTATTGAGGGCCCGACAAACAAACATTTAGATAGCATATCATCAGAATTGAGATTAAGGCCGTCAAAAAATGACTGGATAGTGTTGTCATCCAGCCATTTATCTTTGTCCCTGCTGATATTTGGGCATTTATCGTGGTCTGATTTGGTTTTAGCCAACTGCTGTCTAAGATGAGAGAGTGATGTCTCAGACAGCTTTAGGTCATTGCTTAGCTTAATAATGACTCCTTCTTTTAATGTCAACTCTTGCTCTAGTTGAGTTTTTTCTGCTAACAATACTTTATAATTACTTTGTAAGACAGAGAAGAGATTTTTCAGGGTAGCGATATCATTTTTCAGCTGGGATTGTTCTAGTAAAGCTGAATCTTGGAAACCTAAGGAGTCATTTAAGACACATTTCTTTTCAGAAATTTCATTACTAAGGCGATTTTCCAAATATGACAACTCAGACTTGAGGTTAATATTACGATTTGTCAAGTCTTTATTAATAACGAGAGTGTTATCAAGTGTCTGAATCAAGGATACAATACTCCTACTTATACTACCAAAGTCACAATCGGGGTAATTTGACTCAAGTTTTTTAATTTCTAAAACCAGAACAGAAGATTGTTTTTCAGAATCATCATCTAGGTTTACGGTGTTAAAAAAAACATCTTCATTTAGAGTTACCATATTGATTGCAAATAATCATACATATATATAAATATATATATATACATACATACACCCGCAAGAAAAATAATAACATTAGGTGCAACACAATAAGCAGAAACCCATAACACAGTTATTTCAGAATGTTAGTCCAAGGCTATTATTTTGTTGATGGTGAACTTCTGGCGTGATGCACGGTGGTTCAGTGAGGGGGGACTGGTGATGGTGTCCTTGAGTATGGAGGCGAAATGCACTGTCGGCCAATGAGTAAAACGAGTAGGGTGAAAACTCTCGTTCAGCAGGGTAGACAGTTTATGCTGTAGTGGTAACACTGGTTCCGGCAGTATTGGGGTCAACATGAATCCCTCCTTTCTGCAGGTTTGAAATAAATGTGCAGCCGATAGTTTGTAGGTTAGTTCACTTGTTATTGTCCCATAAGTAGTATTACTTACTGTAAATTGGTTGTAAATTGCGTCGATATGGTAGTGATCAATAAAAGTTGAATGTCAATGAGTTTAAAAACAACACTGCACAAGTAAAATAAAATAATATTAAAATTTCAGGAGACTTAAGAGTCTTGATGATTGCTGCAGTGAGTCGCTCCAGTCCAATCCAAAAAATCAAAAATCAACTGCTAAGTTGAAAAAAATTAAATTATTTTTTTTATTTTTAGTTATAAAATTAACTTTTTAATTATAAAATATTGTTTTAAAATTATAAAATTATAAACTGTTAAACACAACCTAACCAACCAGACTTGCTGATAATAGGCCTATAAAAACTATATAAGATAAAAATCTAACTAATGATTACTTATAATTTTGATTATAAAATTAATTTTAAAATTTAGTATTAATCAACCAAACTTGCCGATATGAAAAATTTGTTGACAAAAAGTTAGTGCTGCCAGAGGGATTCGAACCTGGGACTTCCTGAACAATAATCCGAAGCGTTACGAACTATGCCACGAACGCCGGCACTATAATCACACTCTATAATCTATAACTATAATCACATCGTTTCGTTACGGCATAGATAAAACATACTATGGTTACGGTAATCGTGTTGCCTCAAGAGAAGACATTAGCCACTAGAGATATGACGTCACTAACCTTTAGCCTTAGTCCCTCCCGTGTGCCCATTCCGCTCTCCGGCTGGCTCGGCCGGCTCTCTCTCTGCTGTGCTGAGTGCTGTCTGCTACTGTGGTGTCTTGGTTGGTGTGGATTTGAGGTTAAAGTTTTCAACTTTTCAAGTACCAAGTGTGTGTGAAAAACAGGTTGTCATATAAACTTAGACTATACAGACTAGGAAAGATCATGTAAGCTCTCTCAACACATATTAAGTTAATTTACTGTCTAATAAACAAATGCTGCCCGTTAGGCTAAATTGAAATAACCTCGTTCTTAATTCGTCTAGCCTATGCCAATATTGGGTGGTAGGCTTGGAAGAGTATAGAGGGTTATATTTTAATTTTCCTATTTAGGCTACCAATGCACTACGTTTTAAGAAGATTATAAAAAGGTACCTAAATGCCATTTTTTTAGTTATGATAACGAGGCCTACTTAATTTAATTGACAATACTTTGTTAGCCTATCCGACTCCATCATATTATCGATTGTTACAAGTTAGAGGCATAGATCGTTTGGCTGTTGGCTAGGCTAAGCTTAATCATCAATTGAATCGATAACTTACCCTTAAGCCTAGTCCACACCTAGTGATTTGTCCCCGGAAATATTTTCGGCTGACCGTCTCCGTACCGGTAACGTTTTTTCAAGAAGTTAGTTCAAATTATGTGAAGGAAAAGTGGTCCAAACCCTTTACAGTTTTGTGGATGTGCCGGGGATTGAACCCCGTCTCTTCCTCACCAAAGTCTGAGGCGCTACATTAACCACAAGGCTTAACCCTTTTGCCTTTGTTCTATTGATGTCTTTAGATAGTCAGCCGACGAATTTCCGTGTTTCTGGAGACAAATAACAGTGTTTTCTGTATCCCATCCAAATGGGAGACATGGAGGCACGATACAAGTCTTTTGTCTCAAGATTGCATGTGTGGATGTCTCTGGAGGCATGAGACCGGAACTCGCAGGTGCTCAGCTTTGAGTTCAGGGCTGAATTCACAGCATAATAAAGCCTTCAACAGTCATTTTTGTAAAGTTTCTAAATCCTACGCTATCTTTCTAATTGAAGGTCTGATAACTTAGTTGGTTTAGACTATAGTACAACTGAACTACAAACCTTCCTTGAGAAACATGCGGGTCCACTACTATAGACAATAGTGGACCCGCATGTTTCTCAACATACAGTTATCTTCCTCGGTACATCAGCCCCATTGTTAAGAGTTATGAAGCCCGCACAGGATGAAATCACGCCCTCTTCAGTCACCAACAAACACTGGCTGGCTAGTTTGATTGCACTGATCGGAGACAAATCGGAAACTTGTATCCAAACCTGTGTTGACTGACTGTCGGCAGACTATGGGCCGACTGGCCTCCTACTGTCTGATAACTCAGTCTCCAAGTGTGGACTAGTGGACTAGGCTTGATGTTTAATAATATATGCTAATGGATAAATCCCTTTTTTGATAACAGGTCTCTCATACCATTGCAAAAGACTTGTTATCAATAATAATAATACTTTATTGGCTAGACAATTTGCATTGTACCGACATTACATAGGCAATTATTGACTTCTTTTCGAGGTTTGCAAATAACATGTAATTAAGGGATGTATAAAGTCAAGGGTATATGAACATGACACTTGTTAGTAAAGAATACTTGTTATTGAGGGTCTTCTTATTGAGGCTAAAATACTGTAAGATTAAATTTTGTGTATGTAATTTTAAAGTTGTTTACATATTTCATTCAAAACAATAAAATACCTATGCAAATATTGACCAATTTGCATGATATTTGGGAATTGAATTGTTTTAGTAGAGTATTTTGTACCATTAATGAAAATTTTTTGTCTATTAAGCTTGATAGTCCCCATTAGGGTGAACTCAGTCGAGTGGTACCTACCTATTTTTTTAATCTTACTTATATATTTTTATACTTTTTAATCTTAATTTACTACCTAGCTGATAAAGGACCGGCTTCCACACCAAGGTACAAAATCCGCCTTAGTTCACAGACTTACTCTTATGTTCAGCTTTTTTTTTTGTCCCAGGACGCTAGGCACGAGCATGGAATTGTTTTTCACATTACTTAGGGGACCTAGGGGTTCCGGCATTATCACATGGATAAAATCCATTGGCGATTTGATGGGATTTGAACCTGGGACCTCTGGAACCGATTTCCCTTTTGTTTTGAGGTCCCTAGAGGCAAAAAACACCATCCGTTCAAATTCATGTATACCTATATATATATATATTTATATATGTGTCCGTTAGAACGATAACTTGAGCAAAAATTATCCGATTTTGATGAAATTTTATATAAATATGTAAACCTACATTTTTCCGAGTGAGTTCGCGAACCAGGATGTCGGACAATGGGAACAGGTGTTTATAGGCCGTTTTATGGGGTAAAAATTGGGTTTTCCCTTTTTGGCCCTAAAAACATAAAATTTAGCAATTTCTTTCCAAACCATATTGTAGAGGCTCAAAAAACAAATAATTTAGTTTATTGAAGCGTTACTATGCGCCTAATGGTTAAAACGGAGAAAATTCCGAAATATTGTAAATTCAAAATTCCCATGTTATTCATATAATAAAATAAGTAACTGTTGTAGTTTGCTTGTCTATGGACATATTTTGAACAAATTTTGAAAATGTATTTATTTCATACTAAACTAGTAACATTTTACAAAAAAAAAGAACTTTTAGCGAATTTCCCATGGAACAAATATAAATAGCCTGTATAGGCCTATATGAATTTGAACGGATGGTTTTTTTGGCCTCTGGGGACCTCAAAAGGAAAAAGTACATCGGTCCCGGGTCTAGGTCTTACACCTAGGTCATGGGTCTAGGTCATGAGACCTATTACCATAGCAGGGAGAGTAAAAAACAAATTTGGAAAATGTGGTATTTCCTTTTTTTATTTTGTGATTTCCCAGTGTGAGCAATATTTTTTATTCTTGACTAAGTGTCACTCTTTCTGCTACTGAACTCTCCATGAACGAATAGGCCTAAGTGACCAATAGGCTATAAATCTCTTGCTTCAATCTTTAATTAAAAGTCCAACATGTTGTATTTCAGAACACACCATTAAAGCGCTTAGGACCCCCACCGTTTTCCATCTTAGTTTTCAAAGGAATTTGTACATCTTAACATCGAGAAAAAAATTACTCACTGAGATTATTAACTCAATGATCTGTATCTCGATTTGGAGAGTTTCAGAACCTTCAGAAGAGGTTTTTCCTAGCCAGCAGGTGCAACAATCTCTCATCTAGTTTCAATCTTCTCATACAATCAACCAGGTTTATACTGTAGGCCTACCAAAAAAGACAAACCCCTTTTTCCCCTGCTGATTTACATCATGCACATTCTAATTTATTGCCTCTGTGCAAAACTTGGTTTGTATTAGGCTATGCTGCTGTGTACCATATTATTGTCTTCGCTTGCTGTCTCAATAGCAATAATAGAGTCAGGACTTACCTTTGCAACTTCAATTTGTTCTCCAAAATTGCACCTATATTTTTCTCAACATTTTTTGGTCTGTTTCATTCTTGTTGTACAGAACTTATTGTCTTTCTATTAGTTCTTATTGCATAGAGTTTATTGTGTTTATATTTATTCTATACTATTTATTTGAGAGAAATTTGTCATTTTGTTGTTAGGCTATATTTCATATTTTGTCTTGTTGTTTTATATAGCTGTTTTTTACTACTAATGTAGCTCTCAGCCAATTTATTTGTCACACAGAAATTCTTTAATTTCCATGTAAAATTGTGAATCCGTTAAAAATAAAAATAAATTCCAGCTTTTTTGTTCAAAATGTGTGGAAATACTTTAGTCTACAAGAAATTAATTTGTTTACTCCATGGATTTGATGGGAGTTAATCAAGTTATTTTACAGTTTTAGAATGGAGGAGACTAAAGCTGCGCCACAAGAAGAGAAACCTTTTTCTGTACTTGAAAAATTTCGTCAGCTAAAAAAAGAAAAGGAACAACTACCAGTTGCTCTAGAGTCTAAAATCACACAAACAACTGAGGGAATTCCATCTACAGTGTTTCAAACGTCAAGTTCTTCTCCCTCGTCTTCTAACGGAGACATTGGCAGAGGAGGTTTTCGTGGTCGTGGTTTCAATAAATTTGGTAAGTAAATAAAATACTTAATAGGGCACTTGTGAGCAGTTTACGCATTTTAACGTTGTTCAAAACTTGTTTTGAGGCAAAACGTAAAAATGCATTACCCTTAACCTTTCAAAGATTACTTTATAGTTGAAAAAATTGCATTGAAGAAAAACATTAAAACAATGTGTTTGTTTAAGACGGATTAGATTAATAAAACGGTATTTACTCAGGGGAGGTATAGATGAGCTTACGATGACAGCTGTGGGCTTCTCATTAGCTGAGGGAACAACATTACTGTAACAATACGATGCAGCCATCGGCCTCGGTGGTCTAGTGGTTAGCGTGCCAGGCTGATATGCCGCGAGTCCCGGGTTCGAATCCCGCTGGTGGCACTAACTTTTTGACTAAGATTTTTTCATTATCAGCAAGTTTGGTTGGTTTGGTTCGGTTATGACAGTTTAATTTTATTATCAAGTCATTATAAAATTTTAATTGAGCAATTTCTAGTTTTATTTAATAAACAGAATTATTTTTTCTATTAATAAACTTCTATTGAATTTAAGGCATTTATAATTTTATTTTATAAACAGAACTATTTTTGCGATTAGTAAACCTTCATTGCCAAAATGCTCTCTACTACAGCGCTGTTAACGAAGGAATTTTGAACTAATGCCTCAATCGTACCTCCTCTAAGTCTGACCCTTATTAAAACCACTAATTGACAATGTTAAAAATATGTCGATTGTAGAACAATACCATAAAGAGTTATTTACCTACTCAATCAGGTAAACTTTCAGGAGTCCATTAAAAATCCTCTTTTAAAAATTGTTTCTTCTCTCATTTATGAGTATAAATGCAATCAGCTGTTAAATTACAATTCACATTTGAACCCGTTATGAAGCATTTTTCAGGGGATTTCTTTCTTAGGAGAAGCCATTAGTGAGTAAACATGAAATGTCATAGGAGGACAGCGTAAGCGGCGTTTTGAAAACACCAATGAAAAACCTTCAAAAAGGTTAGCCGCAGATCACTGGCGAGGTCAGAAGGAATCGGACGTGGGAATCACAGAGTTTCTCAGAAGTGGTGATGGATTCAACGTGATATTGAAGCACAGGTAAGTTAAAAAATAATACATCCATGTTGCTTCCGTCCACACTAGATATACATATAGTGTATCCAGCACTGTTTAATTTTATTTTCCTTTCTTAATGTATAATCAGTGACATCATGAACAGCTTAGGAGTAAATTTATCTAGAAATACATCTTTGGTTACCTGTTTTTTTAACCTTTCAAGCATCTAAGGCAGTATACTGGACATAAAGAGTAATTTGACAAAACCTTACAGCCATTTATACAAGCGAAACTAAAAAAAAACACTATTGAAAATTGTGCCTGACATGCCCAGCAACCTGAGAGGCAAGCTTAGAACTTATGTGATCTAGAATGTTTATTTGATGGTTGTTACCGGTAGTGTGGTAGACCCCATCTGATCAATGTCTTGGGAGAATGCTTCGTAAATTAAATGTTTGAATCTCTTCCAGTTAACTGTCTGTGACAGGCCCGCTTTTATAAACGGGCAGACTGGGCATATGCCCTGGGGCGCCGGTGGTTTAGGGGTGCCCGCTTGGTACCCCCAAACCACCGCCTGCCAACACTACAAAAAAAGGGCGGCGCTGCTCTTGGGTTTGCCCAGGGCTCCACTGACCCTTAACGCGGCCCTGGTCTGTGACAGAGCTCGGAGGAAGAGGCTCACCTAATATTAATTATGGCCAGTTTAGCTGAAAGTTGAGGTGGTTAAATATTTGTTTAGTTGCACCCATAGGAAAGCATTTTTCTACTTTTTACTGTACTGAACAACTAAGTACGATGTATGCATACCAAAAGCTTGTTTGATAAACACTTGGTTTTTATGTTTATAAGATTGTGTCGAGGCTTGAGTATTATAAAATACATAACTAATTCTGTATTATTAAAGAAATGTTTATTTACAACGTTTTCTGTAACTTAAGTTGTAAAGATGCTTAATAAAATGTATTTTTTATTTTTCAGGTATAGTGATTTCCACGTGAATGAGATTGATCTAGAAGGGAATGTAGTCAAACTAACATCGATTGACATACCAAAAGAAGCTAAAGGTAATTCAATTAGACCTATCTTTTATTTACCGGACATTGTTACTTTTAGATGATTTGAGAAAATGTCTAAAGAAAAAATTTCTTATTTTCTCACATTTTGGGTGGACTGGACAGCTTAGCCATCAATAAGTGTGAAATTTTAACTTTTTTAATATGTTAATATTAATATGCTTTAATATGCTATAATAATAATAGATCCCTGCACTTTACAAGGCATTTCTATCTATTTCTAGCTATTTCATTCTACATGTCTTAGTTAGATAACATATAGGCCTAGGCCTACTTTGGATTTAACCCAAGTACTATGGAGTAAAAAGTTAAGTATGCTCCATACACCACTTGTAATAGTCAGAGTAGAAAAATTTCTGTTTTTGTCCACTTTGTATCTATAATATAGATAATAAGTTAGTAGTGTGCGATTACTGAGAAATTTATTAAGTGTTTGATGCATGTTGCTTGTGAACATACCTGGGTAGGGGTGATGAGATGCTGTGTTTGTTACTCTCGACTTAAGAATATTTAGACAAGAATATTTAGAACAATTTATAGCTGGGTGCCTACATACTTTAAAAATGTTATAGTGTTCGCCTAACAATCTAAAGATCCTGATCCTGAAAAAAGTCAGAAATGTTTTGATGGTTTGAAACTGGATCCAGATCTCCTTGGCTTTTGATAAATGGTCCTGGTTAATGAAGCAGCAGGTCTTAGTTATTAACAAAGCTACACAAGGTAGATCTCACTCCATTCTGCACAAGTGGTAGGGCCTACTCATCCATATTTGGGTTCAAATACACCGAATTATATCTCCATCTCAATTGGTAATGATTGACCAGTCAATTAGAAAGTTGTTGTGAACAAACAGACATTCAATAAATGTTACACCTTGAACCATAATTATGTTTTCAAAATCAAAATCAAATTTCAGTTATATATTGTAAATTTTAAACTAAAATTAAAGATTAGAAAACTTATTCTTAAAACAGGTAACACTCCCTGTGATTGAAACGTTTTAGTAAATTGAGTAATAATTTACGTTTCACGATCTTTTATATTCTCTAGTGGAACTATCTACTGAAGAGGATCCGAACATTCTGAGCCCAGAACAGTGGAAGACACTGGGAGAGATAGTGGAAAAGAAACTTTCTTCTACCATTGAGAAAGATGTGAGTGCAGTAGGCAGTAGGTAATTGATAGATTCAATAATCTAACTTCGTGATGGATGTCCATCTTTCAGCAGGCTACTGGACTACCTACTATGCTTGTGTGCTTTGTGCTAGTATTTCATTTCAGTATATTTAATTTATATTATGTTTAGGTTAGCAATTAAAATGTAAATAAACTGAGTTTTTTGCACCATGATAGGCAGTACAGTACTGCTCAAAACTTAAGTTAATTTTTGGCTCTAGCTTTCTTTCTCTCTAAAAGCTTGAATGCTTTTGCTTATACTTGGCCTTACACTTACTATTGGGCGTTCCTATGTTTGGGCACATGTGTGTTAATATTATAACATCAGTCATTATAAATCTATGTAATTTCCGGTTACTTATATTTTTCCTTTGGTCTGATAAGTGGTTATCTTTTTCTATGTCAATATTTTTTTGTCTATATTTGGTACTTTTGTTGGATTGTAATGCTCTAATGTGACACAAGTTGTTTCTTCATAATAAGGTTAAGGTTTTTGTTTTAACGTTCTTCCATGGGTAGCCTTATTTATTTTCTAAAACATGATCAATGGGGGATACCCATGAGAATGCAGCTTTTGGTACTTAATAATAAACTATCGATGTAAATTATTTTGACCATGTGATTGAAAATCCTAGCTAGCTCTTAAAAGTTTGAATAATCATTGAAGAAAAATATGAAAATTGATCTTGTGTACTGTATCATGAGAACCATGGGTTGATAGTCTAATCAACAGGTGAATGTCGTGATGTTATTAGGTGTCTGAGCTCAGTAAGGTACAACGCCAGAGAATACACAAGGCTCTCAAGATGAGGTTTGGTGTCCATGTTTACAGCAACACTCTCGACAAGGACAATCAGAAAGTTATGACGATAGGCTATGGACTGAGTCAGATTAGTAAGTTGTGAATTACAGTTAATTTTATTTTTTATTCATCTCAGCATACATTTTCCTTACTGTTGATTGCATTAGGACTTGTAGAAACTAAAAAACCGTCAGCAACAATAGTTTGTTTAAATAATTCCCTTGCTTATTTTACATTTGATATTGGGTATACAAAAACCGTTGGGAGCAAATATTACTGTTACGTAATATGAGAGACTTTGCCATTGATAAAGCATGAAGATGGGTGAGACCTTGCCAAAGGCCACATAAGCTTTACACCCACAAACAAATAACTGCTAACTTGTTCAACCAACACCTTTTCAGTGCCTAAACGGGTTATTGGTACATTTCTTTCTCGTTTGAAATAAAACTGTAGGCCTACCTAGTTTCCTAAATTTAAAAATATGTAATTTTAAAACATTTTCTTTACATATCCTATCAACTCCTTAGTTCAGAATAGTTCAGACAAAGAGCTGGTCCTGAGGTGGAGATAATGTATATTTACACATTATAACTACAATAATAATGCTGATAATAAAACAATTAAATTATTATTTCATAAACATTTAAGATTGCTATGTTTACAACATTTTAACACATTGTTGTGTAATTTGAATATATAATGTGTTTGAGAGTAACCATAGTTTGTCCTTTACAGCTAGAGTCCAATGGCCCGACGACAGACCAGAATATCTACACTTTGTCCTGTACAAGGAGAACTGTGAAACTTCCGATGCCTTAACCGTCATAAGTCGCTTATCAAGGTGAATTAAACTTGTAATTAATCAAGATGAATACAGGTTTGTAAATTGATGAGTTGTTTTGTTAGACTGAACAAAATTAGGATATTGCAATACAGATCACTTGTTGCATTTCACTATCAAGGCTTACACCCATCAAAAAGGAGAAATATACCCAAGTGTATTGTTAAACAATCTATACAACCAAAAACTGTTTTACCTACGACAAGAAGCCGTTTCACTTCAGTTCTTAGAATTGAAAATTTTCACATAACAGCATTTTTTACTTACATAACAGCATATTTTATTTAACAACACGGGTAACGGACCAATGAGGTTCAAGGATTGAGAGAGAAGAAGTAAAATTGTAATGCTTCGAACTTCAGCTAATCAGCTGTTTACCAATTTAATTGTTAACGATTGGTGCAATTAGTGATTGGTACAATGAGTCATTGCATCAATGTCAGTGGCAATGTGAGGCTATAAACAAAAACATAACATATCTTAGAAGTTTTGAGTAGTGATTATTAGCATTAACTATACACAGAATAGACTTCACATGTAAAAATTTAAAGCCAAAAAGAGATGGTCTACCAACTAATTACAATATTCTGTGTTAAGTGATAAATCATTCAGCTGTTTGCTATGATACTGCATTGGTTTTGATTACTATTTAACCCAATACACTACTAAACTCTGGTGAGATGGTCCTGAACTTCATCTATTTTCTTGGTTTCAAATTTTGATATCACATGGGAAGTCTATTCTGTGTATACAGTCAATCTTATTAGTAATTAAAAACCTGTCGTAGGTAAAGTAGTGTACGCAATTCGCGTAAATAGTGTTAACGACACTCATGTCTTAAACACTATCTTTACGAGATAGTTGCATAAACCACTATATCATGTTGCAAGGAATCTGTAAACTGCGACAAGATAAATAAAAGATTCTTAAGTTTTAGATGAAGGCTTACAACTGGTAGTCAACACATAAAATAGGTGATAGTAAACCACTAATTTGACAAAGTAAAGGGGGCAAGGTTGTTTAAGAAAAACAATTTTTTCGGTTTATCAATGGTTGGAATCGTAAAGGTATGTCAGTTACAGAGATCTACAATGGTCATTATTTAGTACATTTGTTCCTGTCATAATGAAATCTGCAAAACTGTAGAATTTTGAACACAAAATGTATTTCTTAAACTAATTACCTGTTGTTTTCTGTACTTTATCTCTATCACAGTTTGAAATTTGTCTTGTCATCTGCTCCAAGCCAAGTCAACTGCATGTCCCATGGCAGACATTCGCGTTGCCTATCTATTTTTCTAATTATTTGTAATTTGTTTATTGTTTCAGTTAACCTGTATTTATGTGTAATGGGGTGGGGTTAAAAGGGCTTTTACGGTATTACAAAATTACCTTACATTAATATTTAACTCACAATTTGACTACAAGAAATATATTTGAATATTTAAGCAGACTAGCTCACTCTGAAAACAAACGCCCGTGTGTGTCATGTGTTTACTATGAACAGATGTAATAAATACAAATTATTCGTTTGTTTAAGTAAACAAAATCTTCTCTTCATAAGAAATACATTGGGATTTTGATGGCCTGTGGGGCAAAGCCATTACAGGAATTGGTGAAAGGGGGCGTCTACACAAAAAATACTTAATTTTGAGTTTGACACATCGGTTGTAAAATTCCGTCCATTATCAACGGAGGAGTAGTGTTTCGTAGAAATCACCTTCACGTATTATATATAAGGATAATGTATAGTTTTGTCAGCTGTGGCAGACAAAATGATTGATAAATTCACATTTTTTAGATTAAAGGTCAACAAGTTTGGTTTTGCTGGTACCAAAGATAAGAGAGCAGTGACCACCCAACAGATATGCGTAAGAAGAACAGAGGCAATTAGATTCCAACGCTGCACTGAATTGCGAGGTATGGTGACCGTGCATTTTTTTACCTTAATATTGATAAAATCTATATATTGGTAATTATATTGAGATTCTAAGCATGATTTTACCACGATTGTTAGAAACCATCTTGTGTGTTGCCGTGTTCGTAAGAAATTATAACCGATTTTGCCACAATTGAGTGAGAGGCTCGTATCGTTTCCGCAATTCTGGCGTTTCTGCAATCGCAAGTAATGATCTTGGTCTTTGCTGTGAAATTATCACAGATGTTCCGACATCATGGGAAATCATCACATATTTTGCCACAATCAAAAAATATCTATATATTAATAGGCAAGCAAGCATGTTTCTTTAAAACCTTTTTCTTAGCTCGTGTGCATCACAGGGGAAATCTACGCGTTAGAAAGATATTTTCCCGTAGATGTGCAGAATCCCTTTAAAAATTTTAGTAGCCTCCCTCTTATCCGGACACCTTTTAACTAGACATCGGTTTAACCGGACATCGGTTTAACCGGACTACACTGGGCAGAAATGACATCTCTTTAACCGGACAATTTTCATCAGCACATTGGTTTAACTGGAATAAATCGGCAGGAAGTAGGCAAGTACTGAAACGTCTGTTCTCGTGGGAAAGATTTGAGACCAGTGATCACGTGTCTTGATACAACGCTCTCCTAAATTTAAGTTGAATATTACAGTATTCAACTCTGCAAACCAAAGTATAGAAAACGCCATTGAATTGGGTAAGCTGTGGTTTGAAAGTAATTATTTTCTTGAAATAAATCATGATAAAACAGAAAAAAATTGTTTTACTTTGCGTAATCTTGAAGTAGACAATGCGGATTCTGTTAAACTACTTGGAATATCCATAGACTCTAAACTCACTTGGGAAATACATACCAATAATATCATTTAAAAATTGTCAAGAGTATGTTGTTTGATAAGAAAACTTAAAAATTGTGTTTCTAAACCAACACTTCTAATTGTTTACATCAGTTTATTTAATTCACACTTGCTGTATGGCAATATACTGTGGGGTAATAGCTCAGGAGCTCACCGGGTCTTTACATGGCAAAAGAAGGCTCTCAGAATTATTATTTATTTATTTATTTCATGCAACAAAAACATTTAATAAACAAAATACATTTTATACAAAGCTACAAAAGCCTCAGCAGGCTTGTCCGCAGCTATAGATAGAGTTCAGTTCAAAAGTCCATTCACAAAAATTCCAGTCAGTTTCTTATCTGGTACAAGCTATTTTCCCAATCTGTTGTATTAAATAGATAAGTTTTCACATTTCATTACCATTTCTTTCATTGTTTTAACAATAATAGAAAAAACTAATATAACAAAAATTTTAATACAATTAAATAAATATTTGAAAAAAACAACAAATTACTACAGGTAATTAACAATCCCATGTTTTACCTAAACTATTTAAACAATATTTAACAATAACAATACATAGAATTATAACTATTAACAAAGATAAATTCTGAAAACTTTAACAATTAATTAAAAGTCTTTTTAATTCAGCTTTCAAGGAAGAGTATGACTTAAAATTACTTAAACTCATTGGTAACTCATTAAACAAATATGGCACTAAATAATGTCTAGTTCTCTTAGTATATTTATTGTTCACGCTAGGCATAACATAAAAGGTTCTCCTAGAATTGTACTTATGAGAGTTTTTTTCTTTAAATTATGTTTGAAATTCCAGATAGGGTTAGTTGCAAAGCATATTTTGCTGAAAATAGAATCATGACACTCTCTAATATTTTCATTTTTAACAATTTAGTTTCCGTTAAAGAGAATCTAAATAAATTTGTTCCTTGCAACTCAATCCATGGGTATATCACCAGACAATCAAAAGATTTATATATTCCTCAAGCCAGGCTAAAAAAAATTATCAAAAGTTATAAATATTTGCAAATAAAACTATTTAATAAATATTTTAGAAATCAGGAAAGTATTCATTTGTACAGGTAAAAAGTAAAAATTATCAGATTGGCTTACAAGTCGTGCTTTTTATTCAGTCGAGGAGTTTTTGCAGAATGTAGATTTTTCAACTCTTAAATGTGAGGCCAAGCAGTCTTGATGATTCTATGTTCTTGTTATGGTTTTTTCATGTTAATTTCAAAGTTTTTTATTATTACTGATGCTTTATCTTTTTAAGATTCATTTAACTTTATTTTAAAATTTTCTGTAGCCTATTTAATATTTTATGTAACATACTAGTGTCCCTGTTGCTCGAATTCGAGCAATTGCTAAGTATTACAGGCGTTATTTTAAAACGAATAACAGTCATAATTTCTGATTACCTTAAAACATTTGACTCAAAGATTATGGAAATACTGGAGGTGCACATAACAGATCGATATAATCAACATTTCTTGTAAATATCTTATCATTTTTCAAAAGCTGATCTGGTTTTTAGTGTTTTCTACAAATAGCTTACTCATAGCCGCATTAGGTTGTCCATAATAACAATTATAAATATATAAAAACAACATTATTTCTATTTCTTCTCCTTGGTGGTGTTCTATGACTTTCCTATGTTTCCAAAGTTTGCAAATCGGCTCTTTAATGATTACTATAAGAAATGCAGCACAGTCTTAATTCAGTTTTCTTTTTAGTACATCACTTTATCCAGGCTCTCTCGCTTTTTTCCATTGTAATATTTTTCCCAGCCCAAATTCAAATAGTAAATATTTCATTTTAACCAAGTCAGTAAATGTTTGTAGCAAACTGTTAAATTAGCAAACTTATTGACTTTTTACAATAAACATATGTTCTTCTTCTCACTTTTAATTTCTGACAACAGCTGGAGTTTCATAACAATGTTTCTTTCCCATGTTAATCTTATGGAGAAATACGAAACTTTAAAGAGCCCCAGGGCCTCACTCCCTAATTATTTCCGTAAAAAGAAAGTTTCCTGCACAACTTCACGTTACGCTTTTTCCAATGACACCAAAAACATGTCAATCGGTTCAGTAGTTTCGGAGGAGTACTTGTCACAAAAATCCTACTTGCGTATTAAATAAGTAATAGATGTAACAAAACATGTTGACCTTGTCTATTGTAATTTTTATATTACCAAATGACAATAAAGATTTATTATTATTATTATTATTGGTAAACAGTCCGTTTTAACAAGTTTTTGGGAAAACCATTTAACCGGACTGGCCTCGGTCCCGAGGAGTCCGGATAAGAGGGAGTCTACCGTAAGCTCAAAAATAAGCACAAAAAATGAATTTGAAATTTAAAAAAAAATTAACATTGGCTTTTATGGGTTGCCATGCTGGTGACGAAATAACAATGAAATATAAACAGAAAATCAAAACAAATGTAGGAAATTCCAATCACATGTTTTATTTACTAAAAAAATAGAGAAAATAGAGAAGTCTATACATAATTGGATTTTTTTTTAGCTAGAAGCGGTAAGGTGTCTTCCACCATGGTGTGGTGGAATATCTTTGAAGATGAACCTTTTTAGGGCGATCATGTGTTCATACGTGTCAAACTTTGAGGTTACATCAAAACAAACAAACTGGCATAATATATTCTTTTAATTGACAATAGTTAAATATACTTACTTACTTTAATAAAATCAGTTGGTCATTCATTAGAGAATATTTTCTGTGAAATAGAGTTGTCATTCCTAATTCCAAATCAACTAATGAATTATTTGTTGTTTAATTATTGTCTTCAAATTAATTAAGTGATGGTTGCTTTGAAAATAATTAATTTAACATGAGCAAATATTAAAATATTGAGTCAGGCAAAAACCTGTAAAACAGTGATCATTTACATTTTAATACGCTACAATCGTGTTGGTAAATAATTTATTCTTGTTTTTATTTTTTTTTTATAACCTTTTGTAATGTTGCATATTTGCGACGACCGGTCTACAGCAAAGACAATAGTAAAAATTATCATAGTTTTCTTGAAATAGACCAAACTATTTTTGAGGTGAAAGAAAGTAAAAATACCCCCGCCGCAGCAAACCTGCAGACTAAGCGAATTTCCATTTGACTGATTGGATTTACACTGAAATGTCTACTTAAAAATATAACATTTATTCCCGATTTAAATAGAATTAGTTTAACAAGTACTTAGGTTTGCTGCATGAGGGAGGGTAAAACTGTTTTTTTTTTTTTTTTTGTAAAATGTTAGTAGTTAGTAAGAAATAAAAACATTTTCCAAATTTGATCAAAATATGTTCATAAACAAGCAAACTATAACAGTTTACTTATTCTCCATAAGAATAACATGGGAATTTTAAATTTACAATTTTTTGAAAATTTTCTCCGTAACCATTAGGCACATAATAACGCTTCAATATACTAAATTATTTGTTTTTTTAAGCTCTACAAAATGGTTTGGAAAGAAATTGCTAAATTTTATGTTTTTGGGGTCAAAAATGGGAAAAACCTATTTTTACCCCATAAAACCCCCCGTTCCCATGGTCCGATCATGCTGGATCGCGAACTCGTTCAAATAAACACATTTGTACCAAATTTCATCAAAATCGGATCATTTTTGCTCGAGTTATCGTGCTAACGGACACATATATATATATAAATATATAAATATACAGTGTGTAAATTAAGTATGGAAACAAATCTGTATTTTTAAAACCGAAATAGATAGAAATATTCTATTTGTGGCAATAATAGTTAACAAAGATTCCGCAATTTTTCACATGAAAAATATTTTTTTACCCCCCTAACAGGGTAGGTGGTAGGGGGTGACTTATTTTTTTCAAATAGCAACCCCTATTGAGTGACCCCTCATTTTGAAGAGTTTGTCAAAAGAAACACAATGACGCAAATCCGAGGTGAATATCTCACTCCTAGCCCAAATGGCGGATATTCCAAAATTTGATTTATTGTACGTGAAAAGCACCAATTTCACAAATAATGGAAAGAAATCTGTATTTTTAAAACCGAAATAGATAGAAATATTCTGTTTGTGGAATTGATTGTTGACATAGGTTCCGCAATTTTTTTAATCAACAATATTTTTTCAACCCCTTTAACAGGGTAGGGGGTGGGAGTGACTTATTTTTTTCAACAACAACCCCTATTGAGTGACCCCTCATTTTGAAGGGTTTGTTAAAAGAAAAAGAATGACGCAAACCCGAGGTAGATATTTCACCCCTAGCCTAAATGGTGGGTAATGAAAAATTTAATTTTTGTAAAAAAAAGCCCATTTTGGAATATCCGCCATGTTAGCTAGGAGTGAGATATTCACCTCGGATTTGCGTCATTGTGTTTCTTTTGACAAACCCTTCAAAATGAGGGGTCACTCAATAGGGGTTGCCATTTGAAAAAAATAAGTCACCCCCTACCACCTACCCTGTTAGGGGGGTAAAAAAATATTTTTCATGTGAAAAATTGCGGAATCTTTGTTAACTATTATTGCCACAAATAGAATATTTCTATCTATTTCGGTTTTAAAAATACAGATTTGTTTCCATACTTAATTTACACACTGTATAAACATATAAATATATACCGGTAAATATATATATGAATTGGAACGGATGGTGTTTTTGGCCTCTAGGGACCTCAAAACGAAAAAAAAAATCGGTCCCGCGTCCAGGTCTTACCATGAGTACTACGGTAATAGCTTATTATTCCCTATATGGGAAATTCGCTAAAAACAACAGATTATTCTAGAACAGTTTATAACTGATCAAATAAAAGCTACGTAGTATAATGCAGCATACATACAGTGATGCAGAAAAGTTAAGACTAGTTTATCCAACTATCATATGACGTCACCAATCATCATATCCACAGACCAAGCGATGCAGTTGTGCGTCAGACATCTTTGTAGACCACTGCAGGGAATTCGGTGCCTTCAGTTAGACTGTTACAAAGATATAAGCATTTTAATAACATTAGAACCCTGACGCAAATATGCGACGGCAGTCTAATTTAATGTGACTAGCCGTCTATGGGTGGAAACCAGCCGTCGCATATGTGCGTCGCTGGTCCATGTGAATGAAAAATTTCGTACTATTGCAGTAGCGAACGTGTTAAGGAGAAAATTCCAAAAAAACTGTATATTTATTTAAAACTCTTTTGTTAATCTTAAGGAGAAAAGAAAACTGTTGTATGGTAGTTTGTTTGTTTGAGGATACATTTTTATCAAATTTTGTCAAATTCATTTATTTTATCATTTACCATCAAGATTTTAACTAAAACCCTTTTCCCTTCTCTGTTGCAGCAAACCTAAGTACTCTTTAAATCTAATGTTTTTTAAATGAGAAATAAATATTAATCGTTTATAGAAATATTTGAGTTAAAATCCAATGAGACAAATTAAAATTAGTCTGCTTATCTGTGGCGGAGGTATTTACTATCTATTGAAGTGTTTACTCTTTGATTTTGTTGCAGCTGTTGCTATTGGAAATTTTTGTTACAAGTGGCATAACTTGAGGCTTGGAGATCTCAAAGGAAACCGGTTTAGGATGGTTCTGAGGTATTTTACCCTATATCTACTACTCAAAGACAAATTTAACAATAAAAGGTGTTTATAATTTGGGTGGCATATTATTATAGTTTGCTATTTACATTTAAGATTATATTATAAATAATCTTACTTTTTTAATTAATTGAAACAAACTGATGGAAGCTTTTTTTTATGGTTGCCACTTGCCAGTTAAAACTAGTTTTAATCAACTCCTAGTTAAACTAGTTTAGACAAGAGATTTTAACTCAATGCTGTGTTTTCAAACTGCATCACTAGTTGATGACTTTCTGTTGTTCCTATAGGAATGTAAAAGCCAGTGATGAAGTGATAGGAGAGGCTGTTGAGTGTTTGAAAAAGGAAGGTTTCATCAACTACTTCGGCATGCAGCGCTTCGGACAGTCTGCTTTGGTGCCGACTCATCTGGTGGGACAGGCCATACTGCAAGGCGATTGGAAACTGGTGAGGAACATTTTTATTCTGAAATCATTTGCTTGAAAACAATTTAACTGCATGTTCAAACGATTGTACATTTATTTTAAAAATTTACGATACATGCTAATATTATACCTTTTTCTAATTTTTTGAAACAGCAAAACCTCCCGTATTTGATAACCCTAGAGTGAAACCTAGTACGGATTCAATCAAATTAGTCGAGTGAAGCAATTACATTTATAGCATCATAAAATGAAATAAATAAATAAATTGAACCCCATAAATATCATAACATTTATTAATTATGTTACAAATTTGGCTAAATCTCATTTTAGGTTATTTGTTGGATGAAAAAAAGTATTAGTGAAGCCAATAGACTCCACCAAAAATAGCTGAGCCTATAAAAACAATACCATAACGAACACTCATCATAGTAAATGCTCAGTTATACAAACATTTGCCTATTTTTAAATTACATGATTTTAGGCGAGGTATTATTCATTTGTAGAAATGTTGTGGCGTTCACTCACCTTTATTATTGTCAGGTGATATCCAGGACTCTTTGTAAGGCACACACATATCGAAAACAAAAAAATAAAATTTACTTTAGTTCATGTGGCAGGAATTATGTGGGACAAACCTCTACGACGGTTAAAGTACAAATTACTGAGCAAATAAATAATAAAACAAAGATAAGTATGGGCTCAAAAATATATATTAATGTTTTGGTAAGAAACCATACTGTTGAATGGGGTTCATCTTAAATCCTTTACAAGGATTTGGATTGGAGGAAACACAATACGAAAGAGTCGCTATTTATGGCAATTGAAGATGAGCCACTTTCATTTTTTGAAGATGAGCGGTGGATGTCAGTATTTATTTAAAAGTCATTAAAGGAGAGCTAGAGTGACTAAGAGATAAGGTCAGAGACGTGAATGGCTTATCTACAATAAACAGTGCACCTACCCTACCCCTGCCTTCAAGGTCTACTGATCTGGCAGTCATGGTTTGGTCAAGTTTTTTCTACCCTGAAGAAGTGGACTTGATCTCCAAGACGATTGTGTGTGATGTGTGTGTATATCTAAGTTTATATTACAAGTCCTGGATACAAAATAAATATGATTGAAGCCCAAAAAATTTTAACAAATAAACATAAGCCTAAATCTTTTTCTTCCAGTTCTGTGTATCTTCATCTGGGGTTTCCTTTCATTGTTTTAACTTAGCTTGTTAAGACAATAAACATTCTAAGATAATGTTATCTGTCTGGTGAACCTTTGACTTTTACTGCAGGCAACAGAGCTGATTCTGAAGCCTAGGCCGGGAGAAGCCACATTCAGCGATGTGAAGGAAGCTCGTGAGGTGTGGTGGGAGACCCGAGATGCTGAAAAGGCTCTCAGATGTCTTGGCAGGAAAGAGAAAAGTATCGAAGGGAAAATAATATTTGCCTTGAGAACTCATGGACCAAATGCCTATCAAAATGCTTTTGATGCAGTAAGTTGTGTATCATCACTGATTATGAATAGAACTATAATTCCATGTTAAGTCATGTTAAGTAAAAAGTCAGTTTCGAGTAAAAGTGAACCAGTTGATTTGGTTTAGGCCTACTGACTGAGTGCACTGATGTATATTACTGATTTGAGCAGGATAAACCAACATTATAGAAGGGCCAAACTAAAAGGACAGTTTAATGTGAACTTAAGTATTTTTTTTTACTTCACACCCAATAGTGCAAAAAAAGTAAGGGAACTCAAGTTTTTCTTTGTATGTAATAAACCCAATAGATTTTTGAGTTTGAACAGTTTATTCCATCAAATCACCAAATTTACATTCTGCTTTGTTTACGTCAAGACAGACAGATAGAAACCCTTAACCCCCGAGTGGGCGCTTGCAGAGTTTTTCTCTGCACTTGTAGTTTTTGTTAATATAAATATGCATAATGGTTATCGGCAGTCGTGTCCGGCTCTACACTTCACGCACCTCATCCTGGGAATGCCCCTAAGCTATTTTTACCCCCAAATTCCTCCTCATTTTGATGTCAGTTGCAATTCAGTGACGCGGTGTCAGTTTGCGGAGGTTTACTCCGCGTGCGCCCTATCGCGTAAGTCCTTAGCGCAGAGTTTATTTCCTCATGCGCTGTTGTCAAACTGCGTGTATATTTTATACATACAAAATTATAAACATGTTTAAATGTATTATTTCATTTATAATTATTATCAAATATATTTTGTTTGTATGTATGTATAATTGCATTATTGCAGAACAAAACTCCGCATGCGCCCTCTCTCGTAACATACCTTTATACTAAAAAATTGCTCAATATTATTATTTGAAATATTACTCATATAAATTTAAACAAATAATGTTATTAACAAAGAAATTAGGTTTCTGATTAGGTTATTCAAGATTTACATATAATATTTCGTTATAACAACAAGTAAAATGGGTAAAATTTTTGCTATTTAGTGTTGCCGGATAAAACTCCGCATGCGGCCTCTCCTGTTTTACTGGTGAAGCGCCTCCTCGAGGGTTAATATTTTTATTTTTACTCAAACAGATTTTTCATCGTATTGACAGACCGTGTCTGTTGCTGTACCTCACGGATCCAACTTTCTATTCACCATGTCAAATGTAACTTTTGAAGTGTAGGTCACAATGTATTCTCCCTGTATTAGCTGCCACACCACACAGTGACGTTGTACCTGCACGCCTACCAGAGCCTGGTGTGGAACCAAGTGGTGTCTCGCAGACTGAGGCAGTTTGGTGTCAAGGTGCTGCCTGGTGATCTGGTGAGCATCACTGAGGCGCCAGACACTTTTGTAGCACAAGACGGCGCAGAGCATGGCGATGATCATAGTGATGAGGATGATGACGCACCAGGTATGTACAATCAGCCCATAGAACATTCCACAGTATTAGGTGTTGTCTGATGTACACGTTAATGTACAATTCTTCTAGCAGCTGACCGTCCACATAGAATGGTCAGTATTAAACAATTTTTTTACAACATTGTTTTACTGGACTTTCCATGGATGAATTTAGTCTGGAAAATAGCTGTTTGTTGCCTGCTCAATCAAATGGGATTTCATTACGTACTACTGTACTGTAATGAATTTTACCGGACACCAGTTGATATTAATTGGTAATGAGTGGTGTTATTAGTTATAAACAAAAACATAACCTTTGTTATAAGTTACTAGGGGAATACCCGTGCTTCGCTACGGAAACTTTCAGATTGGTTGACATTTTTAATAAATTAGTGCTTAAGTTCCAACAGTTCAGTCAATGATTCAGTTACAACCTGTTTTGCTCCAATCGATGTCATATTAAAGCAGCTATTATAATGTCTCACCCGGTCCATAAAGTGTGTATGCTCAGGGTGGTTGCCCATGACCAGACTGCATAAAGGTTTAGGTAGGTGCTGCAAAGATAGTAGCTGCACTTTACCACCATTGCAGTACATGCCCGTTGTTTATTCTTTCTATTTTAATTTGTTCTGTTGTTTTTATTGTTAGGTTAGTTTAGAGTAGTATGGCAAAAAATATTGTACGACACTCGTCCAAAATGTGTTTACCGGACTCGTATGGTAATCCTGCATTTTTCATTTTGCGTGGGAACAACCATACTGTCCAGTAAATACATATTTTCTGGACAAGTAATATACTACTATTGTGTTAAAATAGTAGTTTAAGTTTACGCAACAATCTTTGACTATGAATATAACTAGACATTTATTTTCCCGTAAGTTGTAGTCAGTAAAAAAGAAATTACAACTTAAATTGTGAATTCTGTCAAATCGAGCCTTTTATACTAGCCAAACTGAGGAAAATTTTACCATAAACTGTTGCATCTAAGGAAGATTTTAGACCATCAAATTCAAATTATCTTTATTTATAGTATGTGCAAAACGCACAATAAATAGTGTCAAGCTTATAAATACTATGTACAAATACAACCTAAACAAAAAATACAGAAAAAAAACTATCTATAGCTGTTGTATACATTCATTAACAGTTCATCTGTTGAGTAGATTGGTTTTTAAGTTTTTCTATCAAAAATTCTTTAAGTTTTTGTCTAAACTTTTTTTTATCCTTAATATTTTTTTAAAAATTTAATTTGGTATTATTTTTTAAAACTTTACACCGGCATATGAGGGCTTATTTTTAAACATTTCTAAGTAGTGTTTCGGTAGAACTATATTATTTTTATTTCTAGTGTTGTATTGATGGGTTTCACAATGTGTTTTAAATTTTTCCTGGTTATTTTTTACATGTACAATACATTCCAGTTTCTAGTACATACAAACTAAACACAGGTAATAGTTTCAAATTGATAAAATGTTGTTTTACAGACTCATTATAATCTAGGTTTAACATTATTCTTATTGATTTTTTTCTGTAAAACACGTATCTTATCAAAATTTTACTGGGAAGTGCTTCTATACACTGCTATTGCATAAGATAAATGTGATTGGATATGGGAATGAAAAACTATTTTTAATGTTTATAGATCAATTAAATAAAAAATTATTTTCAAGGCATAGATTCTGGAATTTACCTTACGTTCAATACTTCCTACATGATGATCCCACCTAAACATTTTGTACAATTAATTTGATTTATTGTGTTGTTGCCAATAAAAATATAAGGGCTACACTTATTTTTGTTCCGATTTGTGCTGGAAGAAATAAAATTTGTTTTTTTGCAAATTTAATATTAATCGATTGTTTACCAAACTTTCTTGGATTTGTGATAATTCTATATGAGCTGCTACTTCCTGATCAATCTGACATTTAGCAGATACAATAAGATTAGAATCGTCAGCATACTGTACGAGTTTAGAATTATATATTTCATTGTTATATAGACAGTTTGGCATATTCTTAACATAACAAATAAAAAGCAAAGGTCCAAGAATAGACCCTTGCGGGACGCCATGCTTTATATTTTGTGTTGAGGAGGGACCTTGATGCAAATGACTATGTCTTCCCAGGAATAATAACCACAAGTATACATTTTTTGTGTGCAACAAGTAACAATAAAATCTGCATTTTCTCAAACCTTCAAATCTCAATATTTTGTGTCAATTGAATTGGTGTGGAATGGCTAATTTGTTTCATGATTGTTTAGTCCCTAATACTGATTACTAGAACCACTACAGAGTTTTTCTTTTACATGTATGTTTGGACACCTTTTGACTGAGTTAACCGTTTGTTGTTCACTGTTCAGTCAAGACTGGTTGCAAGATCCAGGTGAAAGTTTTGTCAGCAGAGGAGGCAGAAACAGCCAGTATCTATGACGTGGTCTATCCTCTACCTGGTGACGACATCAGACTGCCTGACAACGAGATCAGCAGCTGGTACCATGAGTTCCTAGAAGCCAACGGTCACTCAATGGATTCCTTTGGACAAGTCAACCAAAAGTAAGTATTTTATTTTATTTTTTAGTTTACATACGCAATTGGTATTTTTTACGACTTTTATATGGGAAAGTCACACCTTTTCTCATAATTCATGAACACTTAAACTAGGGATGGACGAGATTGGATTTTTAGTTCGAGACGAGATGAGACGAGATTTTTTTATTTCTCATAAAATTTCGAGACGTAACATTGTTAGATGACTGTTGAAATACAAAAATAATGATAATAGGCAAGAATATATACAATCTTTTATTAAAAAAACATCAGCATAACATTTTTTTATTAATCACGCCTAACTTATTAAAAATGCCTACGATTAGGAAACATAGTGATATCAGTTAGGATAGAGTTCAACTTATCCTAAAATAAAATAAATCATAAAATAAAAGCAATATTAATTTTTATAAAATAGTTAGGTACTTGTTTTGACTTTTTATAGTAATAAAACATTCCTCACACTGCTTACACTTAACAAAACTTCTCAAAGGTTATTAAAGTAATATATATTATATATTATATAATAAAATGGGCTACTGACTATTATATATTAAAATAGTTAAATATTATAGTTAATATTTACATTTAAAGAATTAATTCAATAAGAACGCCTTCGCAAAGGAAACGCAACTACAACACGCTCCTGTATTGCGGGTATTGCATTGACTTTCTGCAGGCGTTTTTAATTTTTTTTTTTTATTCTCGTCTCGATGAAAATCTTGGCCAAAACGAAATCTCGTCTCGTGTAACGAGATTTAAAATTTCCCGAAATTTCGAGACTTGACCATCCCTAACTTAAACTAATCTCATGTAATTAAAATCCTTATTAGAATACAGCACATTAAATATAGGCCTATACATAAATAATGAAAAATATAATTTTTTCACAAGTCAATAAGTGAAAGGTTTAGCTAAACAATTTCTTGTTCGTATTTTGATTATTTATGTTTATTCCAAATTCTGTTTGTCAATATTTATAAAGGTAAAAAATTAAAATCCTACTTTTTCAGTTCAAGTGTTTGCCATCTATATATATAATACGCTAAGCCGATTTTTGTAAACAGAACTCCTCCCTCATTTTTGTAACGATTTTGATGATTAAAGTGTCAAAAAAATTGCCCTGATCTGTAGTTTTGCAAAGTGTTTTTCGTTTTTTGATATCTTTATTAGTTTGGACAGGATCTTCCATCAAGTTGGGTTTTCTCTCATAATATTAACATTGGGGGATCTAAATATGTAATTGGAAACTTTATCTCCACTAATTTGAGAGAACGGCTGGGCGTAGAAACTTGGTAGAGGTGTCCAAAGAAATGTCTCGGTCTGTAGATGAGTTAACAAAAGAAAAACGAAGTAAATTCGCTTAGGTCTCTGCCCCAGAAGCCTTTAAAGATCCCCTGGATAATACTTTTTAATGAAACAGCTGTTAATTTTAAAATCTATACTTATTTAATACGCAAGCAGGTATTTTGTGACAATTACTCCTCCGAAACTTCTGAACCGATTGACATGTTTTTGGTGTCATTGGAAAGAGCGTAACGTGAAGTTGTGCAGGAAACTTTCTTTATAGGGAAATAATTAGAGAGTGAGGCCCTGGGGCCCTTTAAAGTTTTGCATTTCTCCATAAGATTAACATGGGAAACAAATATTGTTATGAAACTCCAGCTGTTGTCAGAAATGCTGTTCTGCTGTTTAATTTAATTTGTTTACAAGTAGAATTGTTTCTTGGTGCCATGTGTTCAATGAATTATTATTTTGCATATATTTTTAATGCAATACACTATATAAAGTGATTGTAATACATTAAGAGATCTTAATTTAAATAATCAAATAAGCATGATTGAGCCTTTGCCTATATGGTTCCTGGTAAGTGTGTTGTAACTGTTTCTTATAGTACCTATATAATAGTATCTTATAAACAACAACCAAAGTAACCAAAGTAACCAAGGTAACCAAAGTATTCTTTTCTGCATTCTTACCCCGTAGCGAAGCACGGGCAGAGCAACTAGTTATACTTTGATATCCGTTTTTCCAAGATTACAAAATTGTTCACAGATATGGAATGTATGGAACTTACCGCAAAATGCTGGAAACTGTAGAAGACCTCAAGTGGTACACCAAGAGATATTCTGATCCTGATGAAGATCTGCTTCAGACAGACCTTGATGTTTACAATAAAAAACCTCCGCTGAAAATTAACCCAGGTTGGTAGTTTGTTTTAGGTAACTAGTTGTGAGCTCTAAGTGGATCTTTTTTTCGTTTTTAACTTTTTAGTAAAGTTTTTTAATTATTCTAAATAATGTTAAGATTAACCCTCCCAGTGTTACTTGACGAAAATTCGACAAGCAGCACACTTTGTGTAGTGTTACTTGTCGATTTTTCGACACGCAGACATCGTTTACGGCGAAGGCTCTATGACTGACTGAATCGGATTGAACTGGATCGAGTTAGGTATCGTTCTTTCCGTAATATTCTAAGCTTTCTCCAGAGGTCTGTCTCTAAGCGCTATTCATTTTAGTTCCGAAAATATTGTAGCAGACAGCTGACGTGCGTGTATTTGTAAACAGCTAGGTTCCCCCGGACCGATGACTGATGTGTTTTATTACGTTTATCATTGTTTTAGTGTTAAAAATCAAAAGTAGTGATATACGTGGTGCATTATAAGAAGATTTAAGTGGTTTTGAAGTGCTGGTTGATGATCCTGAAGAAGTAGGTAGTGATATTGATGTAAATTATCAGCCAGATTCCTAGCTATGGTTAGGCTATGCATTCTTAGCTAAACGCTATGTACTGAAATCAGTTTTTTGCCCATAACTTATTTATTTGCAAATCTACTTCCTTATATTATTATATATTTGTAATCCTCATAAAATTTAGAACAAAGTGGCTATTTTCAAATATTTATAGGCCTATAATTTATACAATTTCATTGAGCGCGAACTTATTTTTTTTTTGAAAATTTTCAAAATTATATTTTTTTTACCTAAAATTTTTTTTTTTTTTAAATGTTCCTTATGTTTTATATATAATATTGAAGCCCATGATTTTCCAAACAAAATGGTATATAGAACATTAGAATTAACATTGTTTTAAGCTTCTCAGATCCGTTTTAATAAAACCTTGCAAATGCGCCAAAAATAGGTGGACATTAAGGCCTAAACTATGGACACTTGGAGGGTTAAAATGCTAGTACGAATAGTGACTACTCTGTTTTCCTTGTGATTTTGGAAGTTTCAGAATATTGTGTGTTTGATAAAAGCATATTCATTTAGATTACATTATTTGAAAATACTAAAGAACCCCCTGTCTTCTAAGAGAGGTTATGTTTTTGTTTATAACCTCTCATTGCTACTGACAGTGATGCAACTACTCATTGTGCCAACCACTAATTACATCACTCTTTAGCAATTATTATTTTGTTCAACAGCTGATTAGTTTAATGAAGTTCAAACCATTAAAGATTTTACAAACTAGTAAAAAGTTGTTTGTAAAAAATATTTTGGATTCCTTGTTAATTTTTATATCAATTTACTGCATTTTTTAGATGGACCCTACAAAGCGATGGTAGTTGAATTCAATTTAAAATCCTCCTGCTACGCAACAATGGCAATAAGAGAACTTGCAAAGTGCGATACTTCTACTGTCAGCCAAGCAAAGTTGACTCGTCAGGCGAGAGAAGAAGACTTAGCTTCCAGGAAACAGGAGGAAGAAGTTGAGAAGATGGCTACTGATTCAGAAGTGGAAGAAAAGAAAGACATCTGTGATATGGAACAGGATAGTGAAGACCCAAGGACTAATGAATCCAACAATCACAATGAACAACAGTCAAATAGTGATAACTTTGTTGAAAAAAATGTCAAACTTGAACGATAACATTGTGTAAAGTAAGTTATAGTATTTAATGAAGGTACCAAATGGTCGATTTAGTTTTAATTTTCCAACAGCTTTTTTAAATTTTCAAAAAACATTTTTCAACAAACATTTTTAACATTTTAAAACATATTCTAACAGAAAAAGATTTGTTTTAGCTGTATGTATTTAGTTTTTAAATATGCTTTGACTATTCTCAAAATTGAGATTGTTTGTATATAAAATCCAGCGGTGCAGACTTGGGTATTGGAGCAAACTTAAAACGCTTTGATATTATATTAAATGAATTTTAAGATGCAATTCGTTTTACATTGATCCAAAATCTTTTAGTATTCCTGTGGCAATATTATTTTTAATAATAATGGTTTAATTTACCTCTGTCAACATGGTCCTTGCGTAGTTTGTCACTACTTCAGTTTTGTGCTCGTGGAGCACATCTTTAGGTGAAGATCACAAAAGTTAAAACATTTTCCTCACGTGGTCGTAAATTTTTGAAAAACACCAAAAACAAATAACATACGAACGGTACAAAAAACCATTTACGAACTTGGTCAATACATTAAAACGTTACACACGGGGTCCGGCGCCGGTAGAAGACAAGTCATGACTGACGTGTGCTGTAGTCTGTAGCCCCTACATCGTCACTTCTCTTATCAGAACCTTTTCTTTGGTCTTGTTCCAGGATGTGAATGGCGGTATTTTAAATAATGTTAGACTGGAATGAGAGTTGTTCGTTTAAAATATGGCTTGGATGTACTTTAACTGCTCGGTAAATCCCAAATTCCTTAATGGTGTCCATAAATTTACTTTTTTGACAAATATGCATTACTTCTAAATTTTTCTGTATATTGGTATAACTGTGGTTTGAATCAATGATATGGTTGGCAAAAGCTGATTTTGAATTCTTTCTTGGTAAATGTTCCTTAAATCTAGCTCCACTCCTTAAATCTAAACCGCGCTCCACGAGCACGAAACTGCAGTAGTGACAAACTACGCAAGTACCATATTGACAAAGGTAAATTAAACCATTATTATTGTTGCTGTATGGTCCAAAGGCTACCCATAATTATTTTTAATGTTTATTTTTAAGACAATGATAAAGAAACTCTGTTACTAATCTAAAGTTGGAATTGAAAGGTAAATTATGATGCAGTATTTTTGACTAAAAAGAGCAGGACTACTCAAAATCTTATAGCAATAATAATTTAGTTAATAACTTTTTGTTTGTTGAAACATAAAAAATGTCTAGACTTTAAGTGATGAGCAAAACATTTTCAACTTGAGTAATTTTTGTCCGATTTTGATAAAATTTGGTTTGAAGGTGTAAGGCGGGATAAACTTGAATGAGTTCGCGAACCAGCATGATCGGACTATGGGAACGGGGGTTTATGGGGGGTTTTATGGGGTAAAAATAGGTTTTTCCCATTTTTGCCCCTAAAAACACAAAATTTCACAATTTCTTTTTAAACCATTTTGTAGAGCTTAAAAAAACAAATAATTTAGTATATTGAAGCGTTATTATGCGCCTAATTGTTACGGAGAAAATTCAAAAAAATTGTAATTTTAAAATTCCCATGTTATTCTTATGGAGAATAAGTCGACTGTTGCAGTTTGCTTGTTTATGAACATATTTTGATCGATTTTGGAAAATACTTTTATTTCTTACTAAACTATTATCATTTCATAAAAAAATCTTTTTTACCCTCCCTGTTGCAGCAAACCTAAGGTACTTGTTAAACTAATTCTATTTAAATAGGAAATAAATGTGCTATTTTTATGGAGGCATTTTAGTGTAAATCCAATCAGGTCAATGGAAATTCGCTTAGTCTGCAGGTTTGCTGCGGCGGGGGTATTTTTTTTATTTATAATCATTATTTTGGACAACCTAATGAGGCTATGACTAAGGCTATTTGTAGAAAACACGAAAAAACAAGACCAGCTTTTGAAAAATTATAAGATATTTACAAGAAATGTTGATTATATCGGTCTGTTATGTACATCTTGAGTATCTCCATTATCTTTGAGTCGAATATTTTGGTCATCAGAAATTATTACTGTTATCTATACTTATTTAATACGCAAGCAGGTTTTTTGTGACAATTACTCCTCCGAAACTACTGAACCGATTGACATGTTTTTGGTGTCATTGGAAAGAGCGTAACGTGAAGTTGTGCAGGAAACTTTCTTTTTAGGGGAATAATTAGAGAGTGAGGCCCTGGCGCCCTTTAAAGTTTCGTATTTCTCCATAAGGATAACATAGGAGATAATTTTTATTTACAGAAACATATGTTTGTTACTTGAACATAGTCAAAGTCTACTACATAATAATTGCTGTGTATTATGACTCTTAATGTATACCTACTACATTTCAACCAAGGATTGTGTACCTTAAAGTTTACCCATAATGGATCTTAATACTTTATTTTAATGCTGGGAATAGTAAAATTTAGTGGAGAACAAGTTGCCATGATTTAGAAAACTTTACTATAACAAATTTATGTATTTAAATCACAAATCTTTGACATTATTAATTCATTTGAAACTAAACAGCTGATCGACAAATCAAACAAATCATCTACTTCATGTGAATAATGTTATTACACATAGTTTTTTTTAACCATTCTTTTTTACTTGTGGGTGTATTTTGAGTTTGCAGTTATGAAAGCACCAAGCCAAGTAACTTTTATCTAATTTTCTTTATAAACTAACAGTATTATTGAATTACTACATGAACTTGACAAGTCAGGTAATTAATTGTCAGTATACCAAGGGGAAGAAGAGTGGGTCCTTAAAAACAGACCAAGGCGGAGACACCCATCTAGAAAATCCAACTGAGTTTTTAAATATAGAGGTCAGTGGATTGCCAAGAAACAGATTAGACTAATAAAAGGGGGCAGTGGTTTTATTGATGAGGAATATTGATATATCAAAAAGGGCCTTATTAATGGCACAAGGCTTCATGTGATCAGAATCAATGGTTAACAACTTAATAGAATGTAAAGTCTTAACTGGAACAAGTGAGTGGAGACATATTTTGATTTCGAGGATAAAAATTTACCCGTCTGAAACAAACTTACCTTTCAAAATGGAAAGATACTAATTTCTGTAACCTTTGGCATTTGCAGCGCTGTTCTTACCCAGACCAATTGAGTCACGAGCAACTATATTATATGTTGTTTTAAGTAAGGCTACATCTTTTAATAGGATACGCATATTCGTTACGGAAAACTCTGACCAGGGTAATCTTTCTGAAGGCTAAAATCGTAGAATTCATAGAATTGATTTTGTGATAAAAATATTGTTTTTTTAGTGTTTATTTTTAAAAGTGTGTTTTCTTCAAGCAGCATTTTTATGACCCTCAAAATATGCTACATAGGCCTATTGGTTTGATATAATAAAATGTTTTGTTAAACCAATGTGTTTTAAAAATCTTTAAAAAATAACTACCCTATAACCTTGCTCACTGCCTATAACATACTTTAACCTGAACACTTATTAATTTACTAAATATAATACACATACAGCTAGAAAATGGCTGAACTGTTTCCCTTCCAAGGCTTCATTATTACTGCATTTAATTTTCGACGTCGAGTCAATATATAATACGATGAATTTGTTTTCTAGATTCATATGTCATTTTGCGGGGCATTGAACCGCACAGGTTCACTAGTTTGTTTTAAAATAACACCTGTAATACTTAGCAGTTGCTCGAATTCGAGCAACAGGGACACTAGTTAATAATTAATTCACATTATGTGAAAAACTTGGGGGCAAAGCCTAGGCTGTTTTAGGCAGGTTACAGGACCCTACAAGTACATAATAAATGTCCACAATCTGGGAAATAAAAAAACCTGCCACATGGGTTTACAAAATATTATATTTAATTTGCTTGTATTAGCTGAATAAAATTATCGTTAAATAAAGTGCATTTGACTTTTTTTATGGAAATGTTATAAAAAAAGATGTGAGTTTCCTCATTGTTTCCTTGGAGGTAAAGAAGGAATGTTATAGAAAAAAACTTATTGTACCTATTCTGGGTTGGAAAAAATTTCCTGAGACAAATAAATATTGAAAAAGAGAATAAATGTGAGGTTGGAGCAAAGTCACTGGGCATTAAATAATTTTTTTACATTATTCTGTAATACGGTACTTGACAGTCCGAGAGTCAGATGAAAATCTTAAATTGTTGCATAGGTTGATATGTTTATCGAATTAAAAACGTCTTTATTACTAGAATATAATGCCAGGAAATGTTCATCTGACTCATAGCGAGCAAAATCCTCTGAAAAGGTACGGTATCGATAAATGTGTTAAAATTATTTTATGTCTTGTAACTTGGTTCCAAGTTTTGTAGCTCTATCCATCCCTGCATTTTTTGTATTTTTATATATCCATCCCTCCCGGGACTCTTTTCCACGTTGTTCACATAGATTTTAGTAAAAATTCAATGTTGCGCAATTAATTGATAATGCTGCATGTGATATCAATAATCTAAAACCAATAGAGTTGCGCTATGATCTAAAAAAATACATTAGTCGATCACCATTGCCTCTCTAAGAAATTAACATTATTTTTGTAGCTCCCTTTACAATTCATGAATAACATTCATGGTGATAATAAAAGTTTTGATTTTGTGCCTGACAAAAAAAAATGGTTTGGTGACATTTTAGAAAATATTTGATTGCTAGATAGCTGCTGATGATTCCAGAAACCAAAGCTTGGTTCCAGTCCGGCAGTTTGCAGCTCAAGACAGTCAAAATCCAGAAAATCTTGTACACCACCAGGAAAGATCCTTGAGTTTCAAATAAGATACTTGTAGATAAGACGTTAATTTACCTTAATTTCGTCTTGTGGCTCATATACTTCTTCTGAGGGTGAATGACAATCGTTTTGGCGACTATATCGCCTTCCGGATTTTAATCAAAACCGGCTTTTATCCTAAAATCCGATATTTTGTTATTTTATGGGAAATAACACACAAGTTACATATAACACATAACTTTTCAACTGTACTTTTTACGGAAATGGGATCTGGACCATTTTGTTCAACATTTTAAGGACAATAACATACTAACTTTAATCAAAACCGGCCTTTTTTCAAAATCCAATACGGACCCAAAACGGATATATCCACTCAAAACTCAAACTCGAATATTTTGACAAAACCAATACTTTCTCTATATATACTATGTATAGGATGGGAAAGTGACCCAAATCGGATGTATCCACTCAAAACTTGTTAAGGATAAATATTAATATTGATGCAATAAAAAAGATAAAATTCAAGAGATGGTTTAATGAACATGATTTTCAGAGAACTGACAAAAAGTAAACAAAAATGTAAATAGAGTATTAACAATATAATAAAACATATGATTTGTGCACAAAAGGCAGGCAGAACATAGTAATCAGAGAGAACTTCTAACATACTCTCCCCCAAATTGCAACAGGGAATTGGGCAATTTTATTCTGTGATAGGAAGAGGGCTTGGGTGTTCCAGTAGCTGTCTTCAGTGTTTTATCAAACGAATGAGGTTGTCAGGTCCGGGATTTTTGCAGACTCTTTTGTTGGGAGTTTTAAAAACATATCTTCCTCTTTCAGTCCTAGAGTGGGTTGATTGAAAGTGTTCTTCACACGTTTGATTTTCAGGAGATAAAACCTGAACTGGATCTTTGGCAAAATCCTCCTGTTCCCAAAACTTCTGAAGTAAATCATCTAGGCTACTTTGTTCTCCAGTAGGCAATGATACATTGATGATTTATTGTCATTGATGAAAAATCCACATGGCCCAGATAACACCCAACCAAAGATGGTTGATTGAGCAATAGGAGTTAGAGGCGGGACCCTTGATAAGTCCAGGAAGAATGATACTTCCATAAAAATCTGCTCCAAGTATCAAATCTACAGACCCAGGGGTCATGAAATCTTTATCAGCTTGTTGGAGCTTCTTGATGTGATGCCAATTAGATTTACCTAGTGAGTTTTGATAGAATATGAGCTGTTAACGGACAGATGAATTTGTCATTAGATGGACTCCCAATGTTAAGGGGCACTACTCCACGAGTAGTTGATGATTGATTTCATCCGATACCGATAAGAGAGAGTGAGGATGAGGAGCGTTCAATATGAAGAGTCTGCACTAGATGCTCGCTGATGAAGGAAATTTCGGAGCCTTGGTCGATTAGAGCTCTACACACAATGTTGTTACCTTTTGGGCCGATTACTTTAACTTGAGCAGTAGCTAAAAGAACTGTGTGTCGATTTCCAGTGGGAAGAGAGTGATTTGAGAACACTTGTGGTTAGTTTGATAATTTTCTTTCCGAATTTAGTGGATTTGGGGTTTGATAAGTGGATT